CCACACATCCCTTCCAGAAGACAAACTACAAAATCACAGGAGTGAAACTGCTGATTTTTTGAAACCCTAGCTTTCAGAGAGAGATGTCTTATCAGCACATCCTCATCTTGAGCAATGATTAACTCTGTATTAAAAATGAAAAGAGTTAAAAAATATTACTTAAAATCCAGAAGTCTTGCATATAACAAACTGAGAGTAAGTCATTGAACAAAACAAGAAAACCCCCTTATTCAAATATTCAAAAAGCATTTCTAAGGCATGATTCACCTACTCCTAAGGTAGACATCTAAAATAGGTCAGATGAATCACCGCCTAACAGTGTTCGTTTCTCTCCAGTGACTGTGAAGGGAGCCCAGACCATAACTCAGATGGAGACACCCATATTGTGGCTATTGAGATGCGGGCAGGCAAACACCAGCCCCAGTTTTCACCCAGATTGCCTGCCTCAGATGCACCCCAGTTTCTTCAGGAACTACCCTGCAGAAGCAGACCCTTGACAGAAGGGGAGCAAAAGCTCTGCCTGGTGCCTTCGATTGCTTGCCTGCCCTTTTCCAGCTTTCTTGAGAAAAGCATTCAATGAGAGCTGCTGCAGCAAGCGGGCAGAGCTCTTCTGTCCCACCACTCCCCTCAAGAACCAAGAGGTTTTGGATGAAGTGGGAAAAGGGAGTTAAAAAGTGTTTTCCTACCCCCTCTTCCCTGTGAATACAGGGTCAGTCTGCTCATCCTACATTTTCTTTCCACTTAGATATATTCAGAATGAGACAGAAGTTTCAAAATCAGAAGAGAGTTCAACAACTCTATTTGATCTTTATTAAAATACATATTTTCAGATTTGGGTATCAATTTCATGATATACTTTTGACAGGCTCATGGAGATTTTTTCTGTAGTTCCTTGCAGACATAAGGCTTTTTTATCCCACTGTCAGTCCCACTGCCATTAGTCACTTTGGAACCAACTGGCTCATTCCAATCAAATATAACATGCACGCAGAGGAATCAAAGATGAGCGTGCTCCAGAAATCAGCGGCTGGGTACAGCAGAGAGCTCTTACTGGCACCCCCATGGAAGGATCAGCAGGGAGAGACTAGCTCTTATCCATGTTGTTTGGCAGTTTATGTAATATCTTGTCCAGGCAGCAGGTCAGAATATTTGGTTTAGGGACACTGAATCTGTTGGGAATGTGAGAGGGACATAAGGATGATTTGGGGGTAATGGGCTGCTTGGAAGAGGGACCCCTAATAAGCTTCTTTTCTTCAGGCTGAAATAAACAACAGCAGAATGTGCCACTTGTTGCAATGAAGTATTAATGGGAATATTTGTTAGTAATAATCAGCTAACTATATACTGTTTGGGGTCTTTAGACTGTAAGGATTTGGTTCTGTAACACTGCACATGACCAGGATTTCCACCGCTGTCCACTGAAGTAGCTGATAGAAGGACTGTCAAGGGCCAAATGTGGGGCTAGATAACTCCACCTGAGCCTGGAAGCTGGTGCTCCTAAAATGATGGAGAGGACTTACACCTGGGTTTTGGTAGCCCTTCCTCTCTAGGAGTTCCTGAAATGCTCACATCCTGTAGAACGTGGGGACCTCTGCCTCCTAAGAGAATTTCCAAAGCAGATTACCAGAAATTAATCAGAATTTCATTAACTTCTCCTATGAAGAAAGGCTGAGAGTGTTGGGGTTGTTCAGCCTGGAGAAGAGAAGGCTCTGGGGAGACCTTATTGTGGCCTTTCAGTATGTAGAGGGGGCTTATATGAAAGATGGAGAGAGACTTTTTGCCCGTGTCTGTAGTGACAGGACAAGGGGCAACAGTTTTAAACTGAAAGAGGGTAGGTTTGGATTGGATATAAGGAATAAATTTTTTATGATGAGGGTGGTGAGACACTGGAACAGGCTGCCCAGAGAAGCTGTGGATGCCCCATCATTGGAAGTGTTCAAGGTCAGGTTGGATGGGGCTTTGAGCAACCTGGTCTAGTGAGGGATATCCCTGCCCATGGCGGGGGGGTGGACTAGAAGATCTTTGAAGGTCCCTTCCGACCCAAACCGTGCTGTAATCCTATGATCTGAGAGTACCTGAGGAGAGAGCTGGTGATTTTCCTGAACCTGGGAATTCAGGACAAACCCCAGAAAGCAAGGATGCCGGTTTCCTAGCAGGGCTGGGAGGTAAGAGGAGTGAACTGCACATGCCAGTTCCTGTGCTCGGCAGGGCCTGGGGGCCTGGCACCCGTGCTCCCAGCACCTGGCCCAGCAGGGCCCCCCGCACCCACGCAGCACCCTCGCTCAGCCCTGGCAAGCGTCCCAGTCAACCCCCACCATGGGTGAGCCGCCAGGGCTGGGGAAGGGGGTGCCCGGGCTGGGGGCTGCAGGGCGGCGGCACGCAGCTGGAGAGAAGCGAGAAGCCACCACTGAAACTACGCAGGGGAACAGCAAGCAGCCTGGCTGGTCCAGGCAGGGAGCATGGGCACAGGAGCACATCTGCAGCGATAACAGGTTTGGAAAACAGTCTCTGGGGAGAAGCGGGGGAACTGGGTTTGTTGAGTCTAGAGGAGAAGGCTGGAAGTAGGGCAGGACATGATAACGCAGTTGCAGTGCATGAGAGGTTGTTATTAAGAGAGGCAGTGATTACATTGCTGGAAGGACAAAGATAAGATCTAATCGGCTTAATTTTCAGGAAAGAAAAGAAGAGAGGAAAAAAGAAAAAGGCTAGATGTTGCAAAAACTTTCTCTGAGTAAGGCAGCGCTGGAATAGATTACCTAGGGAAGTTGTGAAATCCACTTCACTGGAAGTTGTAAGAAGTTAACCAAACATCACCGTGCTCTCTCAGTAGAGGCTGGATGGCCATGCTATTTCTCAGCCTTTGTAAAGCAGAAGTCCATCTAACCTTTAAAAAAAAAAAGATCCATACATATGGGTCATTAAATGTATGGGTGATAAATAAAAAGTTTAGCATTTGGATAAAAAAACTACTATAGTTTTACAAATCCTAATTTTACTACTACAAATGCAAGCATTTAAATTCAAAATGTTGTTTGGATAGCAAACATCGATCTTTCCTCTCAAAGAAATTGCCTTGCAGTTCTTGAGCAGGTAAACACTTGCAAGATCTTTTAGCACTATTTCTGTCATACAAGTTACCTCATCACACCTCCTTCCTGCTACCAACCTTTCTCCTCTGTTATCTCCTGCTCCCACGTAGCGACCTGCAGGGTTGTGTCCTGCAGAGAAGTGCTGGCCACTTCTGTGTTCTTTGGGGCACTTTTGTTCCTATTTAAATGCTTGCGGGCTGGGCCAATCTCACAGCAAGATTACACAGTCATCTCTCCACCATCTGAGGTTATGGGGCCATAGGATACCTTAGATACTGGAAAAAAAACAGATCGTATGGTTCTTTTGGGACCCACCGTAGAGCAGAATACTCTCAACATATAGAGTATACTGAGACATGCAGACCTTCCCAGTCCATCAAGGGGTATTAAGTCCATCAGGACATCTTAACTCCATTACCTGAAGGACAGAGTTAGGGAGGTTTTCTTGAGATGCTGCATGGATGTCTAATATTAATCATCTAATCAGATGCTGAGTTCAGTCCGGCCTTTCACCACCAAATGGTCCCACTGCCAATAACTCTGATAAGCTTGGCCAACCAACCAGCTAATGCTAACGGCACAGCTGGTTAGGGCTATGTGCTGACTGGACAGGTTGCTGGCAGTCCCTGGACAATACTAGGAGGTGTTCCTCAGTCCATCCCATGCAGAGAAATGTAAACTACCCTGACACTGCCAAACCATTTCCTCTGCTAGGAAATATGCTGCAGTGACACTGGAATGACTAAACAGGCTTGGTAGAGCTTAGTGACTCTGGCTCATAGTGATTTGGGTGATTCGGTGAGACACTTGTCTCACCAGTGCTTTGATATCCACATAGCTTGTGAGCTCAGGCACAGTGCTACATGAAAACACAGGTAGCCCACATCTGATGGGTAAGCAGGATAAAAGGTCCTCTCGGAGATGGAAATTTTGGGTAGTGTACTTCAAGGCTCCACCCTCAGGATCAGCACAGGGTCAGCAGTGACAATGCTGAGCCACAGCTTATAAGCCTTGCTGGGTCTCATCGGACTCTGTGGGGAGCCACTCAGGTGCCTCTGCAGTTGTTCCCCAAAACTTCTGGCTCCATCAGGGCACATTAGCTTGGGCTCTTCACCATGTGCTTCCAGACCCAAGCTGACTCTGAAACAATCTAGGCATATTCCTACTCATAAACCCTATGAGGATAAGATGGGCCTTCTCAGAGTCAGCTCTGGTACCTCTGAACTTCAGGGATAGCATATCCACAAACTGGATAAGCTACCTAGACACATGAGACATAGCTCATTTCATCAGCACTGAAAGAGAATTTTGAGTGTTCAAAGTCATTTACAGATATTATCTACTGAGGACATCACGCCTTTGCAAAGTAGACTGGGGAGTAAGATTTATCATTGTTTTATGATGAATGTACCAGCCTAGAAAGAGGCAGGCACGCTTGTCAAGGACTCTGGAGGTACGTGTCCAGTTCTTATGTCTGCTTCTGGCCTGATGGGCTGCTTTGTGCAAGTCTCTTCACCCACCACCGTCTTCCCATCTTTGTTCTCTCCACTTGTATAACTGTGGCATGCAGTTGTCACATGTTGGTGAGACACACTATATAAACCAGAGATATAATGATGAAGGGTATAAGAGAACTGGTGGCAGATGGAAGATGAGAACCCATGAATTCCAGGCTGCAAGTGCTCGACCCAAGGACACTTCATCTGAAGAATCAGTTCATGGCTTTCGCTCTCATAAATGCTGTTCTTCATGTGGTATTTAGGGGAATAATCATATCTGATGAGTTTTTTTCCCCCTTTATTCCAGCTGATGATGACATTGCCCCAGCTGAAAATAAGGAGACCCATCATCTAAAAATTCATATGAAAATGAACACACTTTGACCTTTACATTCACCAACAGAGAGCCCAGATGGGAGAGAAACCCCTTAGGTGCTGTGACCATGGAAAGGGTTTTGATGGGAATTCTGACCTGACTCAGCATCAGCTGGTTCACACCGGAGAGAAGCCTAATCTGCATGCTCCTTGTGGGAAGAGCTGGAGCAAGGATTCATCCCTTACTCAGCATCAATGAACGCACCTCAGAAAGAAATCAACACCTGAACGGAGTGTGGTCACTGTGAGTCCTGCGGGGCAGGCATTCACTCCTGCACCAGAGATGGGATAAAGGTGAAGATAGCCAAGCCACTGTTGGGAGTCTTGCAGGGAATATGAGGCACAACCCCAAACACTACAGAGATCAATCTGACAATGCTCCAGTGCAGTGGGGTAACAGTGGCTGGATGCAAGTACCCTACTGATATGATGGGCCTTGGGAGGTCATGTTGGTTTTGTGAGAATCACTAATGAGGGAAGATGAGGTCCAGGGAAGGGGGAACCTTGAAGTTGTGAGAGAAAGAGAAGAGGTAGAAAAAGGAGCAGGGTGAGTGGAGTCAGGGTGAGTGGAGTCAGCAGGACAGCAAACAGCATCTTTGGGGTGTTAAAAGAGCTATCTGGGTGCTGGGGTGGTAGTTAACTTGGGCATCTGGAGCTCCTGCCCAAAAGAGAAAGAAGGTAACTTTATCCTTGTTCATTTCTGAGAAAGCATAGTACAAGGTATTCTAGAGTTATTATGAATCATTGTTTGCACTTCATTAGTCACTGTTAGCTGTAGCTTTTAAGTACTTCAGATCCTAGACTATACAATACCTTACAGGGTTTGTTTCCCTGACCTTCTGTCCCTTGTCAGAAGTCAAACATCTAGATCTCATATCCACCAACTTATAGCTGTGACAAGCTAACTTTTAAACAACTTTTTGGTCTTTGTTTCTTTATTCTCTCAGATGCTTTGGGGACTGCAAATCACTTGTCCCAGGAGATGTGAAAATTTCAGAAGAGACAGAAGAAACTCTCACTGTGACAAATGCACTGCAAGCACAGGACAAGGATGTGGTTCCTATCTCAGCCAGTTTACAATCTAAGCCTCCGAGGTAATGTAGCAAGGTTTCTTTCTAAGGTGGAAAACACACTCTTTTTATAGGGTCATTCTGCTTCTATGATTTACTTGCAGTATTATTCTTGTGCCATTCTTAATTAAATGCAAAGAAAACTAAAAATATCACACAGTGTGAATCACAAAAAAAGGCTCTTTTTGTGTGTTAAGGACAAAAGCTTACTTCATGAAAAATGTGCCTTTGCTCATACGAAACAATCCTGCTTCAGTCTGCCCTTCCAACAATAGCATCATAGCTCCAGACAAACAATACTTCCCCACCCCTGTGTGGATGGTCGTATTTCTCTGCAAGCTCACATCCATCTTTACAATCTGTCATATGGGAAAGGGTTCATTTTCCAGGACTGAGGGGAGTGAGGGGCATGGGGAATCCTCTCCTGGTACAAAATGGGCCAACATTGCGGAGGTGATTTCAAGAACATGTGCTCACTTTTCTGTTATTAAATTTGTGGGCCATTATAGAATTCATGTTAAGTTTAGGGCCTTCAGGAAAGCCACCATGGGTGGCCTAGCTGGGTTTTGGTCTTGTGCTACCACGGGCCAGAAGAGAACATTCATTTTCAAGGCCTAACGAGGTCTCTGACATTAAGGATCAGAAACTAGGTGAGAGTTGGGTTACAACAAGAGTTTGGTCCCACAGGTGTCTGTGACCAGGGCTGTGCTGTCCAGGTAGACCTTGCCAAGTCATGTTATCCTGGGCCAACACAGTGCAGGTGTTTTGGAGAACCATAGCGTTAATCTCATTGCAATTTTTGGAGTAGGGTGAGGGTTCATTGATGTATGGTTAGGATTGGATGTTGAGGATGGTAGGAAGGGACGGGAGATAAATGGCCAACTTTGGCCCAACCTTGGCCCAACCTTAGCCCAACCTTGGCAGGGTAGGGGAGGAAGAGGGATCAGGCAAAGCCCAGAGGAGAGGGGTTTCTCCTGTTGCTGTCAGGAATGGGAGAAATAACTGTTGTGCTACAGGAGAGGGTATCCCAGGCAGTAGGATTTGCTTCCTGTGCCCGACAACCCCTCTCTGTCTGGGCAAAGACTAGGGACTGTTTCTTTGGGCTAAAACTGATTTCCACCATCCACAGACCTGGAGCAAGCAGCCAGTCTGCAACTCTACACATGTCCCTGCTGATGTGAGCCAGCTTGGCTTGTGTGCCTTGAGCTGAACGAGGGGCTCTCATTTCCTTCTGTGGCTAAAATCGGAGAGATTTTATTTTTAAAAAGCTGAAACTATAATAAAACAGTAGATCTTTCTTGAACGCTCTCACAGAAAGCCTTAATAGTAATCCAGTGCAACTGCTTGCTCGAGCCTAACAAAAAATATCTGAGGGAAGAAAAGGTCCGTTGATTTTTAAACCTGCTGGTGTGACGCTGTACAGACTTCACCGACGTACAGGAGCATGTATAACAGTATGATATTTGTGTTAATGTTATCTCACCTGCACACAGCCAGGAGACAGCGTTAGGACCAGCTTCCCCACAGGGGGCACTACGTTATCACATATAGAGGCTTGCAGATCTCCACCTCAAGGACTCCTCTCATGCAGACACTGAACGTGGAGGAAGGCACCTTTCAGCTTTGTTTGCCCTCCTCTGCAAAAACTAAGCTGATGAAAAATTACTATGTTTATCTCATTAAAAGCTACACTATTATGTGTAATTATATCCACCAAAAAAGCCAAAAAAACCCCCCAAAATCTACATCCAGGTTGCAGGGAGAATTCTGAATTTCTGAACTTCTAAGTGCTTGATTTCACAGCCGTTCAAGAGTCTCTTAATACAAGCCAGGGACTCTTCTGTGCAATTTGTTAATTAACAGGAAATCATCTTTACTGGTGCATGGGACAGATTAATTTGTTTGTGGGCTGGATTTTGTGTCTAGCCAACAGGAGGAAGGAAAGTGAAGGGCTGGTCTCAGTCATTACTGCTGACCTATACCACAAGCAACAACACTTAGATGGACATTATCATATGAGGATCTCGGCTACGAAGAAGTAGCTTCCTAGCGCAGTGGTTTCCGAGCGAGCAGGGACGGGCAGGATGGGGTTGGGGCAGAGGCAGCGCTGCTGTTTCGAGCACAGGGGAAGGCTTCTGAATGTCATCCTCCCACCTGTGCTGGATACGCTAAGGTGCTGCAGCTGCCTGCACGGCTAAAAACCTGCACACCTGCATGTGCAGTGCTTTCTGTATCCAGCTCCTACACAGCAAGATCCTCCCTTTCAGGTTGAACCAGAGGACTATTTGGCAAGCCCCTTGAAGGCAGCATGCTTCTCCTTTCATTTTTGCTCTCCATACTCAATTTTGCTGAGGTCCTAACTATAGTTCACTGTTTGTGCAGCTCTGGACTAGAATTAAATTGCCTGCAGTGGTGTGACTTTGTCTGTATTCCACCTTTCCTTTATAGTAATTTATTTCTAGAGTTCACAGTTGAGCAGAAAGTCTGAAGAAATGGCCACAGGATAACTGGCCTACCTGAATGTGAAAAGAGCAGAAAGGAGGAATGACATTTCCTAGTTGTTCTGGTAGTGAATTGATTTATTTGTTGTCAGCATCCTTTCTACAGAGGGCTTTGAGTGTCATACACACACGCCTAACTTAAGTCGTTGCTATGAATGCCCATATATATGAGAAAAGTACAGAGGAAGACTTTGCGTAAGTCGTTGCCTTGGCAAATGGAGTGGAAGTATTTTAAAAGTCCCAGTAGCCTTCTCCTGTGCTTCTCAAAGGACACAGGGGGAAGAGGAAAGGAGAAAATAGCCATTGCCACTGATCCTCTCTGTTTAGGCCTTTTCTCCCTCCTAAGGAAGGAAAGGAAACATCAGTGTGGTCCAGGTAAAGGGCAAGGCTGTTAGAGACTCCAATGCAGCAATTATCTGCATGTGTGTGTAAAAGAGATGTGTGTATGGGGTGGGCTGGGAAACAATTTACTGCATGAAGACATAGCATTAGGACTCTGATTCAGGTTTGCACAAGGATTTAGGTGTGTCTAATTCAAGCAGTTATCTTCTGCCCAGCTGCCCTCCCTGTCCTTCTGCTGCCACTGTGCAGGAAGGACGGCTGGACATGACACAGGCAAATTTTTGTTTGCCCGTTTGCTGATGTTGATCTCCACTGACTTCCTCCATCCCAAGAGGCCAAGTTCACAGGCCATTCACCCTGCCAGTCTGCAGGGAGAATTTAATTCTTAAACGTCCATAGGATCAAGAGTACTGCAGGTGTAAAGAGAGGAAACGATACCTTTAAAGTATCGAGGCTATGAATTGCAGCCATGTAGCCAGAGCTCTGGATGGAGCCCCAGAAGAAAAGGAGCACATAAGAGCAAAGCTGTTAGCAACTTATTCTCCTATTCAGGGGAAGCAATAGGAGACAGGGCTCTTAAGAACTGGATCCCAGTCGGACAGCTGCAGAGACATCGTGGCAGCCTCACTGCCTGGACCAGATTTTGCAATATCCTCAGGAAGCTGCTGCTCCCCTGCGCTGCAGCCCACAAAGCTTTCAGCTGTTCTTGCAGATCTTTGAAGGCCACATATATCTGAGATCACCAAAGGATTTGGGGGGAAAAAACAGCTTTGTGCATTCCTTTTGCAGCGTTCAGCATCACAAACACAGAAATTGAGTGTGCTGCAGGAAACCGAGCTGCCTCCTAAAGCCTCCTTGGGAGCTGCAATGGAGGATTTCAGTCTATGAGAGGCACCTGCCAGGAACAAGCAATAACTGGAGTATCGTTTGCATGTAGCATCTCAGTGGGGAGAAAGCGTAAGCCCAAAGATTTCATTAAAATTGTAACTGAGCTAGAAATTGCCTATGTCAATTGGTGTAAAAGAACAGCTGTTTGGGAATGTTTGCACAACCAGCTTTCACTAAGATTTTTCAAAAATTGTTTGTGCTATTTCTGGATAGGAAAACCAATGTTGTATATTCTGGATTACCAGGAATTAACACTTTTGATGACAGAGCAGAGGCAAAGCCCATTAAAAGCTTTCCTATCTTTCTCCTTGTCTGACTGCTCATTCCCCAATACAAATGTTTTTTCTCCACAATGTTTTTGTCCTTTTGGAGGCATCTTAATAATATGTAGCACCATT